ACTTTTTAGTTATTTTTTTTATTAAAATCATTAATTAGTACAGTTTTATTATTTATTAACAAAATAATTAATCAACGTTATAATTGAAAAAGAAAATGTTAAAAAAAACTTCTAAAACACTGCTTTAATTAGTATTTCAATAATATGTTCATCCAAATAATTAAACAAAAATAAGCTAACTTATGTTTGTCAAACAATGTATAAAACTAATTGTTCATCTCCAAAGTAGTACCCTTCTACCACGGTCAGATCCAAAAAAATTTATTTGATGGCACAAATAATTATTGTGATATAAAATAAAGATAAATTTTAACTTTCTACGCTACAACAAATGTCAACGGTAGCACGAGTTACCACTTCTTTTTACTAGATCTACCCTTACCCTCACGAAAATGCAAAGTTTATCGTAATTCACGTGACAGAAGCATTCTGCTTGTATTTGGATTTTAAATTAGAAAATCTCAATCTATACTACCTTATAAATCAGATGTATCAAAAGTCTTAAAAATAATGTTTAATGCATAAAACCTTAAAAACAATTCATAATGCATTAAATACTATTACTTTGTATATAATTGGGATCTATGGAGGCCTAGAATCTACGTGGATCTTAAAAAATTATAGAATCAAAGCCATAGAAGTCTAATGGTTTGTTAATACAATTTGAAGGCATAGATGTAGGGGGGCACACAGCTCCACACTACAACTTTGCTCATTTTCTGTTTGTTAGGTATTGAAGTAATTAATATTTTCTTTTTTTTTCTTTTTTTTAATTACTTATATAATAATAATAATAATAATAATAATAATAATAATAATAATAATAATAATAATAATCGTATGGAAAATCTAAGATATTTGTTCATGAAGCGGTAAGATCTGAATTAATTACGAAATCTGATCTAAAATTTGAATTTGTGACACTAAGAAATAGATTTCTCTGTGCACGACAGGGATCATACGTCATTTCATAACAACATTTTTGTCAACATCTTCTGATTCATTGGGATTGTCCTTTAATACCTGAACGTTCTACTCCAGTCTCTTTCACATCATGGTATATATTCTCAGCATTCCTTATCGTAGTGCTGACATACTTACTTTACTAGGGATCATTGATTAAGATCGTTCATTTCAATAAATGTAATCTTGCAAATTGATGTACGATGACCATAAGTTGAAAAGACGAAAGAAATTAGTGACATAAAAATTGAAAATGTCTGTAAGACCCGTATCCAATTTTTGTATGAGTCGTTCTAATGAAAGAACGTCCATCCTTTGAAAGGGAAATTTTTTATCTGGTTCCTATTACTATTGAAGCCGATCTTAAATATTCTAACAAGAAGAACCCACGCACATCTAAAGTCGGCAGATATTTTGTGAAGGATTTAGAGAGTCTGTTCAGGAGTTGCAATCTTAGTTGTTTCAGTGTTTCTCTTAGGGGGTACTTGGGTAAGCTCTTACCAGGTTTACCTAAATGCTTACCTGGTAAGTGTTTAACATTAGAAATCATCATTATAATTTATTTTATTGGGTAAGATTGTAGTACATCAAAAACGTATCATGTACAACAATTTACCTGGTAAGAGCTTACCCAAGTAAGAGTCGTCACCATCACTTACCGGGTAAGACTCTTCATCCTCTTATTACACATGTTCGATGGAGTATCTTAGGCTTGGAGGGTGGGTCCTCTTGCTTACCTGTGTTTTCAACCAGAAAGAATGGATGCTTTACACCTCCAGAATCTATGCTTTCATGTGATGGATACACAACCACATCTTGGGGTTTGCTTCCCAGAGTTTACCGGTTCAAGTACCCTTAGGAGGTTGTTAACTTCAAGAACTGACTTAGACACCCACAGTTATCAGATTAATGTGCGGTAGGCTGCATAACAGTCGTGATGGCATATGGTGCCTGACCGGCCACCAAACCATCTGAAAAATAACCAACTCTAACGACCTCAAACACAGTTGCGCATTATTCTCATTTGGAGGTCTAGAAGATGATGGAGTTCAACGAAAGTGTTGGAAGAGAATAGGCATCAAGAAAGTCCCTACTGGCCATTCATAGTGTAGGAAGATGGAGATATTCTCACAAATCGGACATATAAATGAGTTTGATTTGATACGCTACGCAACGGTTCCGCCATTTCTATCCACACTTGGTTTTCCACTTACAAAGAATATATCCATTAAGCATCTCCTCTGTTTCCTCCATCCCAAAAGAAGGTCAAGATCCTACTACTTTTAAATATGCTTTCATCCAAACAACTTACATATATTATAAACTAATTCAGTTTACAATAAAACCAGATCAAACCAAACGAACCCAATAAATTCCACAATTGGTCAGGGTCAGGGTCAGGGTCAGGGGGTAGTCATTTGACGATCAGAAGTCGAATATAAAATCCTTGGGGACGGAGGCAGTACAAATGATGAAAAAATAGGTAACGTTTAACAAATATTTACCAACGTATCAAACTCCATACAGATAACGATGGCCCAACAATGAAACAGAATAAGACTACACGATGCAAAATAATATTGTTGAGTGCAAAACTGTACGGCACTAGCTACAGCTATGATAATGGGAACAAACTATATGCATGTTGAGGCCTTTGAAGTGCGTTTATTTGTACCTAGGATTATAACGATGACAGTGACATCATCGTGATATTTTCTTCTCCGGCCAGCAGGGACACTCATTAGCTCTTCCGTACTGAAACCTGCAAGATTGCGTGGTAAACATCAAGTAGCAAATACAGAAATAAACATAAAAAGCTAATGCAAAAATCCCTTTTGATTGCAGTCAAATGTACAGATTTTCAAAATCGATAAACACAATGGGTTTGGGTACCATAAACGATGCAGGGTCGGATTTACCCTAATATTCCAGCTGACAGCTAGCTTATTAGCCGATATGTAGCTTTCCATATCAATTTGAACTTTCTTTAATGTTAAATGACAAAGAATAATATAACCCCACCATTTGTGTATTCGTATCCATGTCAATTTGAACTTGAAAAACTAGGAATGGTGACAGTCAGATGTCAATATCCACTGTACATATGAATCTTTTGATTTAGATCTTTAAGCAAATGTTGATGATAGTTGCTAAAGATCTTAACGCAGTTTGAATCGTTTTGAAAATCAAATTGACTTATGAATTTACCTGCAGAACAAGCGGCTTTGAGTACAAGCTGCTCCAGAAGATATTTCGCTGGATCCCCAGACGGTTTGGTTGATATGTAGGAATGGACAAGCTTCACCGCCTCATCATTGGTGAAGAAATCAAATAAACCATCGCTCCCAAATATTACAAAGTGATCAGAGCTTGATACTTCATGCATGTATAATGATGGTTGTACGGAGACGTATGGAGGACTTTGAAGGTTACGAACCCTAAGAATACCCATCAAAGCATCATTCAGAACTTTCTGCAGAAAAAAACCCAAAACCGTATGTCAATTCAAAGAAATATACGCAATTCTTGATTTCAGTCTAAAACCAAACCAAATGATCCAGTATATCATGTACACAAACCTGTCCTCTACCACAGAGAGTGGAGCGGCTGTTTCCATGATTTCAGTCTAAAACCATGTTCATCAAAAATGATTTTCTTTACCTTTTTTTTTTCAAAATGAACCCCGTATATCCAACACGGAGGTGGGGTATGGTGGGATGTATACAGACCTGTCTTCTACCCCAGAGAGTAGAGCGGTTGTTCCGTAATTTCAGTCTAAAACCATGTTCATCAAAAATGATTTTCTTTACCTTTTTCAGGTAACCAACTCCAAATGCTCGAGTAACCTTCAACTTTCCTTTAACTTTTCCATGCATAATTGTCTTAGGGTCATCAGGATKTTCGCTAATTAGTTGGTTTCTTTCCGATTCATTGTCGACTGTATGGCTATCGGTTAATTGCACCGCTTTCAATCCCTTAAAATCTTCAATCGTAGTTTCGTCATCATCTGTTGCTAAAACTGCTCTACTATCACCTAAATTGAGTATATACAAATCCTTCCCATGCAGAAGCCCGACAAGAACACAAGAACCGACCGACACTATATCTGGCCGATCCTCCATTTCTTGCTCAACCATATATAAGAAATCATTTTCTGCCTGATTAAGAGCATGCTGCAAGCTATCAAGCACTCGGGTTTTAGGCGAAAGAGATCGCTTCTCACTCCCCATATTACCATCTCCAAGAAAATAATCATCGGGTTTAAAGGAGTCAAATTCCATGTCTAACGAATTCAGATTATACCTGATTGTTTCATAAAACGTTCCAGCTAGAAAGTCGGCTGCATCTCGTCCATTAAATCCGTCATAGATTGCGCAGAAAAGCCAACCATTTTCCTCAGAACAAACCGCCTGAACTCTGTCTTCACCAGCGGCGCCACCAGCCACTTGTACTTCAATAGCATTAAGGAAATCTTCGTTTCTTGAGGGTGCACTCAAGGATTTCGACAAGAAAGAATCGAAATCAAGTGTCTCGGGGGTAGAAGGGCTACAACTCAAGTTGGACATGCTACTTTGGAAAGAAGAAGATAATAAGTCTAACTTTGAGAAGGAAGGCGAGGAGGGTATCCTTCGAAATGATTTGGGAGAGTCTATTGATGGAAGAATTTCGGAGCTAATTAGCCCATTGCAGATATTGGTGTTGGCTAATGTGGCATTGGCACTTATGGCAGCCCCAGAGAGGCAAGAGAAAGAACTATTGTTTCTTTGGAGTTTCTTTCCGGTAGGGATATCATATCCTTCAGTTGTATTGCATTGATATCCAAAACTTACTTCCATTTCCCCACCCGGATCAAGAACTGAATTTTCATGCATCATTTCAATCTGAAATATTGGAAAGAAAATGCAATTAGTTCCATTAGTAGATAGAGATAAAGATATGCAATTCAATAACAAAACTTTAGTAGAAAATGCACATCTCATTAAACATATTGGAAGGAAAATGAAGAATGATTGCTGGTGTCTAAAACTATCAGAAGCTTATGTAGTGTCCCAAATATATATATACACACACACACACACACACACACACACACACACACACATATATATATATATATATATATAGATAGATAGGCAAAGGATTGTGTGAGAAGGGAAGTTATGGTGAGAAGCGTAAGAAGAGATCTGAACCCTTGATCATTTTTAATCTCATGCACACCCATGAATTGCGCTTTAGAAGGGAATTGATCCACTACACCTCGGTGCACCTCATCAGTGTTGACATTCAATTAGGATTGATCCAAGGGTGGAGATCTCTTCTTACGCTTCTCACCATAACTTCCCTTCTCACCGGAACCCAACCCTAGAAAGATATATATCATATGTATTTAAAATTAAATTACATAAGTCTTCCAACAGATACTTACCGTCCCTTGAGAAAGAAAATACCTAATTGGGTCCTTGGTATGACTACTTTGTAACTAGTTTGTTCGTCCGTCTCTATTATGTTTAAATTGGGTGTTAAACCAAGTGCGTGACATGCACATGCCACGATAATAAGATTATAAGAATAACTAGTGATTTGGTTATATCTATTTATTCTTTATTTGTCCTTCACCTTCATCGTTTTCATCTTCACTATCACCCACCACATAACCACCCACCACATAACCACCCACCTTCATTACACCATGGAAATTCAAATAATACCAAGTTTAGCAAGAGACGGAGGGAATAAATTGTTAAAAGATAGTCACCCCGAGGATCCAAATAGGTGTTTTCTATCAAAGGACAACAAGCGTCTGTTTACCACAAGTCTACAGACAAACCAAACAAACTCAGTATACCCCACCCAAAAGTAGGGCTGGGGGGTAGGATGTATGCACACCTACTCTACCTCAAGAGGTAGAGAGTGTTTCCGGTAAGACCTTTCCTACGGGTGATTTATGTAATTCACCCTATGATTAATTTGGCATGGAAGTATTTTCAAATTAAAGAAATCTTGTGGACCAAAATCATTATCAAAGTGACTTTTGTAATGACAAGTTGAGGAAAACTAGGCAATTTAGACTAAACTTTTGCGAAAAAGGGTACAGATCATGTAGGCATACATCTTACCCCCACCCCCCTAGGGGACCCCACCTCTGGGTGCGATATTTTGATCTCTTTTTGGTTTGGTTTAATCAAGGGAATGCATAGTTTCCATTAAGATGCAGCCAACTTGGTTGCATTTCCACTAAAATACACAGACTAACAATGGTGGTATTCTTTAACTTCCTTTTCCAAAAAGACTACCACCCACTGGTAGCCTTCAACTTTCTTTTACAAAGACTACTACTGTCACTTTGTCGGTGGTAGTCTTTATATATTATTGAAAATGCAGACAAGTAGGCTGCTTTTAATGCAGCTATGTTTTTCTTTAACATGCGACATCCCAAAATGAAAGTGGTTTCAATTTTTATGGGGTGGAGAGGGAGGATATCTATTGCCAACAAGATTATGCAAGGAAGACGGTGAGAATAAGTACTCGTAACTCCAAGCTAGATAACGTCAAAACAATCACCAAATCCAGTAGAAAGTAAACTATCCCTATACTTTTAAGCTAGAAAACACGAAGACCAAAGTTTCTAAAGCATTCATACTGAGCCTCGGCCTCTATCACACTTTAAAAAACATCATTTACAATCCTACTACTTGAACTCTTTTCATGTATGCATACTGTCTATATCTATCCTTGAATATTGTATCACTAACGAGTTGTCATGTCATCCCACTATCTCGATATAAATTTTCATAGGCAACGTTGAGGCTCGAAACTTCAAGTGCACAAGCAAAAGACTAATGTATATGAGACTAGATGGATTGAAGTTTTCGGGTGGTTTATCCTTTCTGTCCAATTACTGACCCTAAACTATAAATTCAGAAGCAAATGGGGACCAAGAGTTGAAAACTTGAAGGTCTGAAAGATCATTAAAAGAACCCTAAAACCACCAAATTAGGTGCAATTAGTTTAATAACAAATCTAAACAAAGGCAATGCAGCAATCAGCAAACAGATAATTAACTATCAAACAACACAATATGCTTTACAAAATTCATAAAGAAAATCAAAAACATAAAGGGGGTCAAGAGCTGTGAAAGCGAGATGGGTTTGAAGAATTATAAGCAAATATAAAAGAAACAAACTAAGAACTGGTCAAAACTAATGACACAATGCAGCAATCAGAAAACCAATAATTACCAATTAAAGAACACAGATATAAGTACAAGATCCGTACATAACTGAAAGTAATCAGAGCCTGGATTGTCGTCGAAATCAAATCGAAGAGGGTGTAAACGCGATATACAGAAGAATAAACCCAAATTAATGATAAAGACAGCATAGGCAATGCAGCAATCGAGAAACAAATAAGCACCCATCAAGAAACACAACACAAATCAACAAAACCATAAGAAATTCAAGGCTGAAGAGTAGCGAAATCGAAAAGGGTTCGATTGGAAATCATCCACAGAACGAAGAAAACCCAAATTAAGAAACGGAAAAGGGCAAATGAACGACGAATAACGAGAGCAATGCAACAATTAGAGAAAACAAACGATTACCCATATAAACAAACACAAGGGAAATCACAAGAAACCGAATCTTGAACTTACCTCCTTGATTAAGGAATCTTGAACACACCCAGATTAAGAACAATCAGAAGAAGACGATCGTATAAATCGTAATAGACAAATGAAAGAGAGCTCAGTAAGAGATGGGTTTTAAAAGAGAGTTACAGAGAGAGCAGAGAATAAGAGAGTGGATGGTGGAGAAGGAAGCAAAGAAGGGAATGGCTTAAAATAGAATAGAAGTGGGAAATAGTATGGCGGGGGTGGTAAGGGGAGAGAGGAGGATACGGAAAAGGAAGGTCAACTGTGACTCTGGGATTCATCAAAACCGGTGAATTTGTTACACCACCCAAAATAAAAGCGAATGGGTCCCCTTTGTCTTTCCCACTTGGAGTGTTTTCATCTTTCCCGGCTGCCAAGAGCCAAACACCTTCTCAATTCCCTTCTTCAAGAAAGGTTGAATTTGATGACATCAATCTACAGTTAACTTTTTGTTTCTTTGTATTCATGACAAAATCTAAAGAAAGTCTGGAACTTTTGTATCTTCTTTTTATATATGTTGACAAAATCATGATATCCGAGTGGAAAATGATTTCGTGGATTTAAACATGTGAATCCGTCATGTGTCGAACTTGATCGTCCAAAGTGGTCTCTAATTGATTCGGTGGGAAAAGCGTCACTGCACTCGATATGCATTTTTCGCCCCAAGGGGAGACTTAAGCTTGGTATCTGGATGTATGATGGTGATATCGTTTGTTGCTTGAAATCTCTTGCCACGAGTGAGTTGCCAAGTGCCCCCTAGGAGGCCAGTCTACCACAAGATCAAGTTGGAGCCTGGAGCCAAAGTCCCACCTCTTAAATATCCTGCATCTAGAAAGGTTTTATTTGATACAACCATCGGACAGAAGTCATCTAGTGCACTTCGAGAACTAATCCCGCAAGGGATGGATCCAATTTCCTGTCCTTTTTTGAAATCGTTGATACGTATTCGGAAGGTTTTTTCTTGACTGGTTAGGTCCTCACATAGGTCTTGCCCCATGCGGGATTACATCCAAGGGTTAATTAGTAAATTAGACGATGATGTTATTTTGATAATTAAGTAATTCTATAAATTGAAATTTGGAGAAATCAAGTGTTATATTTTGCTTTAATTGTGGTCACTGAATGTTGGATTGAACTTCTTTATGGAAAACTTAGTCTTTCAAAAGTAGGTGATTGGGGTTTTTGTGTTATCTTGTCAATAACATCATTGTCGGGTTTTATGGAAATGATATCATTTATTACTAGTTAACCATTTGTACGCCTACCCCTACACCTCCGTCGATGATCAGGGTTAATGTCTCTTTTCTATTTCTAGAATTCATATTTTGGTGTCAAAACATGGGCAAGCCCCTTCTAATGGAAAAATAAAATTCAATGAGAATTTGGTCGCTATGACGCTCGTTGTTTATGAGATTTATGATCTCAGGGCGTTTGTTATCAGAAGAATAAGTAGTAAGCTTGTGTAAGTGTGTGCTCGATGTATATGTGTGAAATGTTTGGAGAAACATGAAGGAGGGAATAGATGAAAGGGAGGGTTAACCTCCCAAATCAGTTCATATGGTAGCAAAGAAAATCTATGAGAAAACTTCGAGGATGAGCAAGTTTGGTAGCAGATATGCTGTTTAGAAACAGAATCAGTAATCAAGTAAGTGGTTTTTCTGCCGAATCTTTTGTTTTAGCATGTGAGCAGTAACATGTAACATTAGAAATGGATAGATTTGATCATTAGCAAAAAAACCAGTGAGTTCAGATCAAGAATTGAGCAAAACTGATTATGATACAAAATCAGTATGTTCTTGAAGTATATAGTGCTTAAATCCTAAATTGATGCTTGAATTGTATGCTTAGCTGTTGTTTTACTGCTTAAGGATGTTTGTAAGTATTTATTAGTGAATCAAATAAGAAGTGCTAACAAAAATGAGTTAGAATTGAGTTTGTAAGGTCGTTGAGCTTGAGTCGACACAACCTACAGTGGTAAAGAAACGTGAGCCCAACTCACATGGTCAACTCGTTTTGACCCGTCAATGCCAGAAAGCGAGTTAGGTACCTCAAGAGTAGCATGCAAGTTGGGAGCGATCTAAGGTAGCATGCCCAAAACATGTCGACTTCTTAATTAGTTGACTTTGATCAATCTAGTTTAATGTGTTCAATCTAGTAGTGTGTAGCGTTTATTCGAATAAGCCATTCCAATAAGGTCTCGTCTCTATTCGAATAAGACATTCCATCCTTCCATGTTTAAATCGTACCTCTCGCTCTCCTTACAGTCGAGTGGCTTTGCACCTTGCGGTCGAGTGGTGTTTATTGTTTTGTAAACTGATTAGTTGCATAGTTGCACATATGACTTGTTTAGGTAACATTCACACAAATCATCGTTTTCGTCATCATCAATGTTAGGATACAAAATCATTCAGAGGGTTTTAGAACCATTAAGAGACAGACTTTTTTTCTGCCAAACAAGATTTACCTCTTCACGATTCAGAGGCTGCCTCTTAATGGGACTATTAAGAGGTAAACAAACAACCCCTGATCAGTTCCATCTTCTTACAGATATTATTAGATACGGAAAGGCATAATTATTCTGAAAGGATGTCCACCTCTTTACATACTAAAAAGTCGTGATGTTATCAAAGATGTATGTCACTCTCTTGATAGAGAAATGGATGGAGGGGAAATCAAATAAAAAGAAGTTAAACTTCAATGTCATTATCAAGTTGAGGTCTTTGGATTGCGATGGCCCATGGAAACATATATTAATTGTTAATTTATCGATCGTTAAAATATCAAAATGTAAGCTTAGAAAACAGTTTTGAAATTCATCTGGTTTTGATTTTGAGAAATTATTTCGAAAAGCATCATTTAAGGGTCTATGATTTCGAATTGTTTATTTTAATATTTGTTATTGACATAACAACAGATGAAACTTGACATGTTTTTTTTAAAGCAGGAACTTCAAAATATACGTTTTTGAAACTACAGACTATTAAATGTAGAGGTTGGCAAGAATGGGTTTGGTCATGCTTGTAACCAGTCATTGGCAGTACTTCCATACCTAGCTCTTAACCAGTCGTAATTTATTTAAGAAAAATATAGTCCTTAATATCTAAAACAAAGTTAAAGGGCTTTTAGCCTAGCGGTATATGAGTTTTTAATATCCACATTGATATCAAATTAACGAGAAAAATATGATCGATTTTTTGGTGTAATTTATTTCTTTCGAATCTTTCTTATTTTTTATCTTTTTTCGAATAAAAAAATGGGGAGGGGGGGGGGGGGTTTGGAGGTTTTTTTAATTTAAAATAATTTTGTAACCACCCATTTAATTACATATTAATTAATAATAATATTTAGAGTTTTTCCTAAACCCCCTCTATATATGTATGTGTGTGTGTGTTTTAATAATTTAAAAAGTTTATCGAACAATCATATTTCATTTAACATAAAATTTAGAAGGTTAAGATAGTAATTTTCTGTCATTCATTCCATCCATTCTAATCATTTTATTTGAAATCATTCAAATCTGCCAAAAAAACCTTCATATGTACTCGAGCAAAAAAACATAATGGTCCAAAAACAATCATATGAAAACGAAAAAAGTAGTACTTGTCCCTCAACAATCGGTCCTTGGACCGAGGTTTGTAACTGTAACCGATCCCTCATTGAGTCCAACTGAGTTTTTTTTATAGCCTATTGGTTCTAGGCTTAATAGAACTCATACTTATTAAGTCAATTGTGTAGCAATGACTTAATAATATAAAACGTGACTTATTCAACAAGCTTTTAGAAGAGAGATTTATGCAAAAAGACAAGTTTTTTTTTAAACATGTCCCTCTGAAGTAAAGAATACGCATTTTTCGTCTATGGATAAACATTTCTAATCAAAAATCTTATTAGTCCATACAGACAGATTTATTCATACAAGAATTAGTGGATAATCAACCAAACAGCTCCTCCACCTCTGTTAAAATGTACATTCTAAAATATATTTCTCAAAATGAAAATCTCGTTAGTTAAAAAAAATCTGAAATTGGTTCTTTTAAACAGGGGTATTAGAAATCGGTTTTTCTTAATGGATCAAGGTTCAGCCATTGGGCTGTGGGCTAAAAAACCAATAAACAGAATATAAAGAGAATTTATTAAATGTTTATCCGGTAAATACTTACCTTATTAGATAAACATAAGAATTGAGAATCTTAGGAGCCGTTTACCCAAATGTTTACCCGGTAAGCGATTACCTATAGGAGTCAACACTATGATTATTTTGATGCGTAGGATTTTAGTACATCAAAACATACCGAATTTAACAATTTACTGGGTAAGAATCATCATCCTCACTTACCGGGTGAGACTCTTATCATTCTCATCGCTCTTACCCAGTAAGATTCTTGGCCTTTCTCATGTTCATCCGATGAGGAAATTTATCAAGTAAACATTTACCAAGTAAGTAAACACCACCTTATTCCGTAAGAGCGATGACAAGGATTGAGAGGCTTACCCGGTAAGGGCTTACCAAATAAATTGTTGCATATGATGTCGTCTTAATGGACTAAAGTTTTATCCGATAAGTTGCGTGAAAATGTTGACCATTACTAGGTAAGCGTTGCGTAAACGACCCCCAACTCCATATTTTACAAGACTAATGTTTTTCATTTTTAATTTCGCGATATCAATACATTTGGTGTTATCAATCGCCCCACCGTGTCCCATTCGGTTTTGTTTGAATCCGTTTCCACGAAACACAAAACGTTTGGTTGAAGTTTTGGCTACTCAAAGGTATCATAAATATTAATTATTAATCAGCACGAATTAATGTTGTAATATACTTTGGTAACTCCTTTCTTTGTCCTCATTTGTGTCACCTGAACAAACAGACCAATCAAATTCATATATGAGATTTTATGCCATRGAAACTCACTTATAGAATGAATGAATACCTTCATGTTGCCGAGCTCTGAGATGTCGGAAACATGTGTACCACCACAAGGACATCCAGGAAAATCACCTAACTTCACTATGCGTGGACGGCTTCCCTGCAACAGAAAGATAAATTGTGTTATTAAGTTACATCAATGGTTTGATGCAATGAAGCCGTAAAGCAGAAACCAACTTAAGGGTAGATTTGGTATGCGGACGGTATTGGAATGGATGTGCAAGAGTGAGGTAGGCGAGTGAAAGAACTTTATAAGGTTTTATCTTACATGGGTAGTTCAGTAATTTACCAATATTGTCTTGTCTCCCTGTTTGGCTGGGCAAAAAAATAGATTTTTGTCCCACTCTGTCCGGTCTCATCTTATGCAAAATATGGGACAAAAAGATTTGCTCTTATGCAACTAAACAAGATTTCTTTGGAAAACTGATGTCATAGCAAGAACGGTATTGCTACATCTATTCAACACCGACAATTTTCAACTTAAATTTACATGTTCTTTAAGCTTAAAGTTGTAAAAAAGATGGGAGTCACTCCCTCTATCATAGAATAAGTGGAACGACCAAAGAGCCTTTGGCCTAACATTATCCAGGTATTTGGCCTCACAAAAAGTGAGGAGGGTATGTGAGTTTATCTGTTGCAGAAGAATAAGGTTGAATACCTTGGGGATATAATCAGGAAGGCTACCACCACACAATTCAGAAGCCTCTTCATATGGATAAACAGCAACAGAAACCTGAAACTCTTGGAAAAAATATGATATCAAATTAAAGCAACAATTGAGGAATTTGCTTTGTTTTGTTATTCCCAAAGAAAGAGATTAAAACTATATATATACACAAAACGATCCTTATCCTAATACTTCTCATAATCATCCTATAGGGTGCCTTTGGTACGCAGACAAGACAAGACAAGACAGGTGTTCGGCGTTTGGTAAGATATGACAGGACAGGACAAAACTGGTTAAAATAACCAATTTACCCCCAGTGAGATGTTTAGTGTTTTTTCCACTAAATAATCAATATAAATGTTAACAAATACTATTTAACATCTGGTCTAGTATAACAAAAGTAGATCACTTTGCCTACTTCTGATTGTGGTTCGTCTCTATAGGCTTACATACTAACATCCCAGTTTCTTTTAGTCAACACTGTAGTTTCTTTGAGATATGACTATTCCTTCTTTTGATCAGGCAACTTCCATTCTTCAAAATATCCTGGGGGTGTTTGGTTTGATGGAATGGTTTTGAAGGATCTGGATTTCATGGAAGGATTTGGAATGGAATCTTTGGTTTGTAGGATCTGTAATGAAATTAAATTCCATTTTTTATAAATATATAATTTTTAAATTATAAAAATAATTAAATTACTTTTAATTAATTAATTAATTATTACAAAACAAATAGTTAAAACATTATTAGATACAAATTCTATGAAATCCCATGAAATACTAACCACCCCCATAGGATTTCAAAATCCTATGTTTGTGGTATTTCAATGAAATTCGGGAAATCCTTCAAACCAAATATGGGATTGGAATGGAATTCAATTCCAAATTCTACCAACCAAACGTGACTAGAGTTCCGAGGTCCTTGATTTCAAATTCTTTTGCCAGCATCTTCTTGAGACAAAGTGTTAAGTCCAATACCAACTAATGTGTAATCTAATGGGGTTCCATATATATTCTCACATAGCCATTTGGGACATCTTTGCCGGTTTAGCATCTATTGGAGGGGGATGTTAAAGTCCCACATCAACACTTTCTCACATGATAGTAGAGTTGGGGTCTAGCACCATCTAGGGACTCGACACACTATTTCTCATTGAACATCGGGATTTGAATAAGAACCAATGGGAAAGCATAATTTCCGATTTTCAAATAATCATGAATGGGTTCTCAACTGTATCGCTTATCAGGCTTTTTCCATAAGACTTAACAAGGACAATCACGATACCCATGTAAAGTCTTTCAAGAAAAAGCATCTCAGTCATCGCCAAACAAACATAAACAACCAATCTCAATAGTAGCACTATCAATGGCACCTTAATTAGGTCCCACAACAAACCAACTTGTGCCACCAAGTCCACTGACACCCCCCAAAAAACTCTTCTGTATAAGATTCTTCCTGGATACCACATCCACCATTTTCACTCTCTAGCTTCAACTAAATCAGAGAAAAACACAAGAAAGTAGATCTACAGCGAATCATTATATGTGGTTTAGACTTAGGAACTTCCTATTCTATAATGGCACTCACCTTAGTAGGATTTACTTGTATTTCTCGGTCATTAACCCCATGCCCAAGAAATTGAACTTCCTTGAGTCAAAATTCACATTTCGAAAACTCTCTAGTATCAAACATTCAATTCAATTTGGGAAAAATTTGATACCAAAGGGTTTTCAACGTGTGAATTTTGGCTCAAGGAAGTTTAATTTCTTGAACATGTGGTTAATGAATGAGGAATACAAGTAGATCATGCTAGGTGAGTGTCGTTATGAAATCGAAAGCTCCCAAATCTCAACCACATCTAACGATTCTCCGCCGATCTACTTTCCCCTATTTTGCTCTGTTTCAGTTGAAGCTAGAGAGTGAAAATGGCGAATGTGGTATCCATGAAGAATCTTATACCACGGAGTTTTCCAGGGACGTCGGTGGACTTGGTGGCGCAAATTGTTGTGGGACCTAATTAAGGTGCCATTGATAGTATCACTATTGAGATTAGTTGTTTATGTTTGTTTACAATGACTGAGATGCCTTTTCTCGAAATACTTTACATGGGTATCGTGATTGTGTCCTTGTTAAGTCTTATGGAAAAAACCCGATAAGCGATACAATTGAGAAACCTTTCAGATTATTTGGAAATCGGAAATTCTGCTTTTTCCATTGGTTCTTATTCAAATCCCAATGTTCAATAAGAGAGAATGTGTCGAGTCCCTAGATGGTGCTAGACCCTGGGTCTAATACCATGTGAGAAAGTGTTGATGTGGGACTCTAACACGCCCCCTCCAATAGATGTCGATGGAAATTGAAGGAGTGCAAGTAAGTTCCTCTTTCGTTTTATTGTATTTCTCAATGAAGGTCATTTCTTTAAATATTAGAGGATTGAATTCAAGTAAAAAGGTGTTGTGGTCAAGAGATTTAAGGGTCTCATTTAATTTGAACATTATTGGTCTCCAAGAAAGGAAACTGAATGAGGTAGATGAATGTTTCATTAATAGAATGTGGTTGAGTGGTGATTTCGGTTTTGCTCAGTTTCCATCGAACAAGAGATCTGGTGGCCTTATGTTAATTTGGGACTCCTAAGTATTCAATGGACTTCATGCGTGGGGAGGGGATGGATTCCTTGCTGTTACAGGAAATTGGAAGGGTAAATACGATCTAACTGGCTTGCTACATGTTATGGTCCCCATGACATGGATAAGAAATCAGCGTCGTGGAAAACCCTCTCCTTGATTATAGACTCAATAAAAGCTTTTTGGGGACTTTAACCTCGTCAAATTTTGATGGCTTTATAGGTGTTCGCGGTCCGGTTTGGGCGGTTTAACCCCCCAAACCACAAACCAAACCGCAATAGCGGTTTAGGGAACTTTTCAAATCGAGCGGTTTGGCAGCAAATGACCAAACCGACCATAAAAAGGCGGTCTAGTCTGACCGGTTTAGACGGTTTGGGCCTCTTATGGGATTAAACTTAGAAAAACATAACATCTATATCAAAATGAAATTTCTACCAATATAACATTACTAAAAAGTAGGATATTGAATGATAAAAGATACATTGTCTCTAACTAAAAAAACATTGAGCAAGTAGAAAAAACGTTAAACAAATCCACCAACAATAGTTGGAATTTTGGACAATTATTGAGCAAGTCGAAGGACGGTCTGAAATTTTGGATTTGATTTTTGACAGACTTTGGAAGTTTGCCAATTTAGATAGCCGCGATCAATAGAGATATGAAAACTAAAAACATAATGCCTTGGATGAACCTTTTTTAATTGTGCAATATAAAGTTGAATCTATAACATGAAAACTAGATATAACTAATATATGTGTACTTTTGGCGGTCGGTTCGGTCCAGACCGCTCAAAAAAAGTTCAAACCGCATAACAAACCGGACCGAGCGGTTTGGCAATCTTCCAGACCGGACCACCACACCGCTCAAACCGCCAAAAAGGTCCGGTTTGACTTGGTTTGACCGGTTTGCACGGGCCTAATGGTTTTTTTTAACACCCCTAGGCTTCATAAATAAAGAGAAACTATTCGACATCCCTCTTGGTGGAAAAAGATTGACTCGAGTTAGCGAGGACGGTCTAAAGTTTAGCAAGGTAGGCAGGTTTCTTATCTCCGAGGAATTTCGCTCTATCTAGACGAATCTTTCTGTGGTGACACTTGAAAGGAAATTCTGGGACCTTTGTCCCATCTTATTGAAGGATATGGATACGGACTTTGGACCTAAACCTTTTTGCGTGTTTGACATTTTGATGAATGATCTAGATTTTGAAGAGGTGGTGAAAAGGACGCGGGTGAAGCGTGTCAAGTCGACGGAGGCGGATAAAGTGTTAAGAGATAAATTGACGCATGTGAAAGAAGACTTGAAGTCTTGAAGCAAAATGATGTTCGGAAACGTGGAAATAGATTTGCTCAATTCGAAACATAAGGCTAATAAATTAGAATTAGATGCAGAAACAAGACAACTCTCGGTTGATGAATTGGTGGATTAGAAAGCGCGGCTCAAGCTAAAAGGGTCAATTTGGAAGCAAATAGATCTAGCTTAGACAAAAATCGAAACAAATGGATTTTGGAGGTAATCGTTAAAAGAAAATTCCACAAATGTAAATTTTTCCGGGGTAATCGTGCACGGTATCTGGTGTGAGGATCCTGTTTTTATCAAGCAAGAAACTCATGCTTACTTCAGAACAAAGTTTGAAGAGACGGGGTTCTATAAAGCTAAACTTGGAAGCACCAACTTTAATAGATCATGCAGAGAAGAGGCGAACTTTCTGGAAGCAAAGTTCACATAATCAGAAGTTTGGAATGCGGTTAATCAATGTGGTTCATCAAAAGCCCCGGGATCAGATGGCTTCAATTTCAAATTCCTCAAGAAATTTTGGCATATTATTACAAGTAAGGTTATGGATGTCATGGAGCAATTTTAGGATCAAGAAGCAATAAATCCCTAAGGTCTCGGATCCCATCAACTTCAGCGACTTTTATATAAAGTTATCACCAAAACAACGGAAGAAAGCCTCAAAAAGTTTATTCGAAAGTTAATTGTGGAAGGAAGATTTATTTTAGATGGAGTGCTTATTACGAACGCTAGCTTCTCGTTTGCAAAAAGGAATGCAAAGAAAGCGGCTATATTTGAAGTCGACTTCAAGAGAGCTTTTGACTGTTTAAACTGGCTTCACAACACCATGGAACAAATGGGTTTTGGTGGAATATAGATTCAATGGATTTCGGCTTGTTTGAGTTCCGCAACCGTCTCCATCCTTATCAATGGCTCGTTGGCGATGGAGCTTAATATGCAAAAAGGAGTTCGTCAAGGGGGCCCTCTATCTCCTTTATGTTTTTAATTGTAGTGGAAGGTCTTAACGTGGTAATGCATGAAGCTCTCCTCCATGGGGTGTTCAAAGGCTTAGTGGTTAGATGTAATGAAATTTGCATTTCTCATATTCAATTTGTTGAGACACTATTTTCTTTAGTGATTAGAGTACCAGTAATCTTTGAAATTTGATGA